AACTGGTCCTCCTCATGAGCTCTATTAAATTTGTTCCCCACCCCCTGTCAATCCACTGCTGGATGAAGTCACCGCGCGGCCTAGTGTGCCTTCATCCAACCAGTGAGCTCTTACCTGCTCACGAATAAAGGTCATCTGTCCATCAGAGCGCGGAGACACTGAGAGCATTGATTTTAAGCGCCGAGACACAAAGAACCTTTTTTTTGCGGTGCGAGCGTCCGTTTGCGGCGGGTATGGGCGGCAGGGTGTGGGGGGGGGGGCGGGGGGGGGTGGGCTGTGATTGCGGTGCCAACTTGCATCACGAACGGTGGCCTGGTGCACGCCCGGAGAAAGGTGGCATGATGTGGGGGTTTATTGCTTTGCTTTTGTTTTGGCAGGCGGAATTTTACCGCAGCCGACTTGAAGATGCGGCTTTTGGCGGAGATGAGCCGGCGCGCCGGCCGGCACCGTGGCCTCGCGTGCCGAAGAACCTCCACGGCGGGGGGGGGGGGGGGTTCACATCATCGTCGTCGTCATCATAGTCATCGTCAGCCCCCTCTATTTAAGACCGAAACTAGGAGGATTTCTCCACAACTCTGGCTGTCGCCTGATGAGGCTGGTTGCAATTACCGGCAAAACGTCATACTCGAATTGTAAATGTTGTGGGTTTACTCTCCAATACACCGGTGTGCTGAACTAGTAACTAACTGTCATGTTTGTTTACAAACCTTACAAATCGGCTGCGTCGGGTGGCGACGGGTTTACTAACACATTTATACTTACGCTATCGAACCAAAAAAATACCTCTCTCACGGGTCATCATCAGCCGTGGTCCATCCGCTGCTGGACGAAGGGCCTGCCCCTAAGCCACTGCCACCGTCTCTCATGGTCATGCGGCGCGGCGCGGCGATCCGTCTGGCTCCTAGAGACGAGCCGCGTTGCGTTGCAACCCTCTGGAATGACGCCAAAGGAGGGGGTCGCCACCCCTTCTTTGGTTGCCGCTCCACCGTCGGTCTGCCCAGTCCCACTTCACTTTCCTGAAACGGCCGGCGTGCAACGCTAACGAGGAAACGATCCTCCGTTTAACAACATCGGCTGTTTGGGTAAAAGTGGTGTCGGGGAGCGACCATTAAGGCAGGCACGGTGCACACCGGTGGCGGTGGTGCTGCTGCTGCTGCTGCTGCCAGGTCACCATTGTTTCGCAAACAGCGACGTTCGTATGACGCAGCAGGTACTCAGTTAAGGCTGAGTCGACCTAGGGGGAGGCGACGCCCAGGTTTGGTGGCAATACTTGGTCAGGAATTGAAAGCGGGTCGTCGCTAGGATGGTGGCGCGAAGTGATACACGTGTCCTAGTTCTCTACGCGCGCACGCACGCACGCACTCGCACGGACTTGAACAGACAAGCACAAATATGCATATGAATAGATTATATGTATTTACATATATACAGTATATACAGTATATATATACCCTCAGCAAATACTAAGAAACATTGGAAGGTTATCGTTGTAAGGCCTACTTTTAAACGTAACGGACGATTAAAAAATTTGACATACGCACTACGAAAATCACAAGAAATGAAAATCAACCGCATATCATCTTGTGTATTTGAAATGTACACAATTGTGTAAGAAAATTACGCATCCAAAATAAAGGAGATTCCCCATTTATCCTCATAGTCCATAGTGGTGTACTTATTAGGCACATATAAAGACGAACACACACACATACATACAATCATACGCATACATGTGCACAAGTAAATGCGTAAATAAGTACATAATTTAATAGCATGTAGATACCAGCAACCTGCAAGTACTTGGGAAGTTACCGTCCGTACATCCCTCCCTCTCTGGACGTGACCGTCCTCCAGACGTTACCATTATATGATACAGGCTAGTAGTAAGAAATAGATAACACGGAGCCAGCCAGCAAAACTTTTTTTTCAATCATATCGTATGATATTTATATACACACACACACACACACGCGCTTGCATCGCTACTACTCGCATCACCGCTGCAACCGGCGATCACGTTGAGAGCGATCGCTGCCAGCGGCGAGTGGCGCTGATCGCCGCTTGCCGCTGCTTGCAACGGGCGATGCGAGTAGCGACGGATACTCGCGTCGCCAATGGCCGCGATCGCACCCGAACGCGAGCGTGCACGCGATCCACGCGTCATGCGCGGCAATGGCAAAAGCCTGCCGAGGCTTCGCGGCGCTCGAAGACAACTGCTGTGCCAACAACAGAGCGCGGTGAAAAAAAAGTTACATTTCAGCTCGTGATTTTTTTTCCCGTTGTTCCCGGAGCACGAGGGCGGTTGCAGCACAGTGAGCGTTAAGATACCCCCACTGGATCCACGTGCATCCGCATAGCACGTACGTGCACAGCCGCGCTCGCACGCACGCACGCACGCTCACAATGGCACTGTATCAGCGACGCTCGCCTATCGACGCAGAGAAGCAACTGGACGAGTGGGTCGATGACTCTTCCATTTGGATGGGAAATATAAGGAACGTATTGGACACTGATTTTGCTGATCACACTAGGGAATCTATTGGGACAATATCTCAGTGATCCTGATCTATTGGTAGAATCGGTAGCTACTTTATTAATACGTCATCAATTGAGAGTATGGACTGTTCTGTTGACAGAGAATCAAAGTAAAATAAGTATCAATAATGATTAATTTAAAAAAAAACTATATTATGGGTGATGCTGCTGCTGCTCTTGCATTGGGAGTGCACAATAACAACAACATTCACATTCATCACTAACACCATGGGTTTAAAAGGTAAAATAAATAAATGACATGTGCTATGAAGAAAGATCAATGCCTGAAACGTTGGCTATTGCATTTTTTTAAGCCGAAACGTTCTTTACAAAGGTGTTAAGTTATTGTTTGTTATCAATAATGTTGTCAAATGATATAGAATGAACACGCATCGATCAAGATTGTCATTATTGTTCATAGGGAATTTATGTGAATCGTGGATCAATAATGCTGCTGCATTGATGGAGAAACAACTGACAATGTGAACCACTGATGCCGGCCCAATGACAATGAATAGAAAATATGGACAATTATTTTCCACCTGTTTAAATGAAGAATTCAATGCAAAACTTAAAATGGGGTATTATTATTATTGCGCGTCATACATTGATCAACGATGCTACTCAATTGATGAAACAACTGTAGAAAACATTCATCAATGATGCCAGTGTGTAGTTTTTTTTTTTCCGGGGAAAAAGTATCAATGGTGCTGATCTAGTTAGCAAACAGAGCATCAATGGAAGATATGTATTGTAATTTTCGATGCCGTTGCGCTGCTAAAGGAAAGCGTGTAGTGATGTGCATGGACAATCACAAAGAAGCCACGTGGTTCACTGCTCACCAGATAATGGCAAAGCGCACTCGTCTCCTGCGTAAAATGCTAACCAATGGCGGGAATTCCACATTCCCATGGCAGCGGCGAGTAAATGCATAGGACAGACATTGTTGACTTCTCACAAAGGCGGAAATAATTTTATCGACCCCCCCCCCCCACTCCAGAGGGACGATGAGCCAAGTTGATGCCCCCCCCCCCCCCGACCTCACGTCCCAGGATTCGAATTTGCGATCGGAGGTGGCGAGATGCGTCTGTCCGACCGCACACTTGACGCTGGCCATGTGCGTACACATGCGTAAAGTTGGGGTTCAAAGGGGGCGCTTTTTTTTGTTTCGCCGAAGACAGTGAGATCAAAGAGCTCACACCGATGTTTTGGAGATTCAATCTTGACGCTAACAATAAAATGTGTCCTAATTCGTGAGGTTTTCCTTTTTTCACATAGATTTTCTTAACGAAATGGATTCATGTTACTTACTGTGTGTGATTATATAATCAGGAATACAATAAACGAGTGTGTGTGTGTGTGTAAACCTCGTGTGTTCTTTGTATAAATATTACTGTATATTGCAAACAGATATGAAATGAATAATGTTTTAAATAAAATAATACATGAATGGAATGAACATGGAAAGTATATTGATTCGTAAAATACAACCGTAAAAAATAGCAATTTTAAATCAACAACGATAAACAGGAAAATAGGAAATAAAATATAATAATTGCACCAACGAGAACACTTTCCTTATTAAACCAAAACAGTAGCAGCAGCCATGAATGTCGACAACAACAATGAATGTCAGCGTAAAACAGAAGCTGTGGAGACCCAGAGATTCATCCGCCCACTCATCCACCTGTCACGCCCATCCGCCAGCGGACCCGCCCATTTGCACACCGATCCACCGACACGTACTTACCTACTTGCCACGCCCATCCTCCAGCGAACCCACCGATTCAGACACAGACCCACTCGCTCATCCACTCACTCGTTTCCCTACTCATCCACCTGCTCATCCATCCACTCATTCACCCATTTGCCAGCTATCCACCAGCTAATCCATACAGCCACCGACCATACCTATCCACAAGCCCATGTGCCCACCTATCATACAACTGCATACCTATCCACCCACCCATCCACCAGCCAATGCGCCCATCTGCCCATGCGTGCACCCATCTGCCTCTGTAAACCCTCCCACCCATCCCCTCATTCCCCAGCTCTTCCATGCATCCGTCCAATACCCCACACACCCAACCACCATCCCGCCCATCCACCCACCCACCCATCCGTTCACGCACCTGCCCATCCGCCATCAAATCAACCAGCTATTCAACCCATCTATCTGCCCGCCTATACACCATCTCACCCATATAACTGCCAACCTCCCACTAATCCGCTCACCAACCCACCCACCCACCCACCAGTCCACTAACTCACCCACCCTTCCACGTGCCTGCTTGTGAACACCCCCACAATGCACGCACCGGCCAATGGACCCATCCGCTCACCCACCCACCCACCCACCATTCAATCCGCTCACTCACCCAACCACTCACCCACCCACCTCTCGCCCAACCGCCCGCCCGCCCACCCACCCACCCACACACCCACTCGTCCGCCCACCCACCCACCTTGCGAGTGCACAAAGTAGGCCAGGTAGAGGTCGAGCTCCTTGACCGAGACGCCGATGTGGTGCGGCTGCACACAGAGGCCCGGGTTGGCGCACTGCGGCGACTTCACCAGCCGCTCGCCGTCCGTGCTCTCCAGGGGCACGCCCTTGAAGAGGATGACCATGACCAGGTCGAGGCGCCACACCTTGTCGGCCTGGCGCAGGCAGTCGATGCGCCGCATCTTGCCCTTCTGGTCGGGGTTGGAGAGCACGCAGCAGGGCGGCTTCTTGCCGGTCACCGTCAGGACGAAGTCTTCGCGGAACTCGGGCCGGATGTCCTTGCGCAGCTTGGCGAGCAGGCGGGAGGCCCACTTCTGCTTCACCTCGCTCTTCTCGCCCAGCAGCTCGTCCTTGACGGCGCGCTCCTCATCCTTGGACATGCGCTTCTCGTGCTTCTTGAAGTACTTGCGCTTGCGCGCCTGCAGGTTGAACCACGTGTAGGCGAAGGCGCGCACGTGCGGCAGCAGCGCCTCGATGAACGGGTGGAACTCATCCTGCGGGGGCGCCCGGGTGGGGAGGGGGGGGTTGGTGGTGGTGGAGGTGGTGAAGGCGGTGATGGTGGTGGTAATGGTAGTTGTGTTGGCACGGGTGATATTGGTGGAGATGGCGGCGGTGATGATAATGGTGGAGGTGTTGAAGGTGGTGGAGATGGTGGCGGCGATGTTGATGATGGAGGTGGTGGTGGTGAAGATGGTGGCGGTGATGATGATGGTGGAGGTGGTGTTGGTGGTGATGGTGGCGGTGATGATGATGGTGGTGGAGGTGGTGTTGGTGGTGGTGGTGACGGGTGGTGCCACGATTTGTGCGTGCGTGCATTCGCGTGGCACGGATTGTCGTGATATTGTCATAGGTTTAGGTTATCCGTGCGTGCGTGGGTTTGTGAGCGCATGCGTGGCGTGGGTTGCGAGTTTGTGCGTTTGGTTAGGAGTCCGGTGGTGTGTGTTGTTTGTTTGCGGAGCGCAAGCGTGTGTTTATCGTTATTGCACAGTTTGTCGCAATGGGTGATGATCATTGGTGTGGGAGATGTGATTGTGGCGAACGGGAGGAAAGAAACGCATTGGGGAAAACAAACAAACAAGGAGAAACCCGTCAACGTTACATTTGCACCGACGACGAGCAACTTTTTTGTCATCATTGTTCAACCCAATTTCTCTCGGCTTCAATCACACGTTATTACATCCGCTCACACAAAGACAAAGAACCCCCTAATGTAGTCTTAACAGACTTTTCGAGGGGGCGAGTGCTGTTAGCGAGCACCTATATTGAATGCCAACACAGCGCACGAATGGGTTGGGTGGGCTAGCAACACGCACACAAACATGCACGAAGATATTTTTGTTTCTCTCCATTATCATCATCCCGTATGAAACAAAACATAAAAATCGTATGTTTAGAATTAAATGATTAGTTTGGCTGGAAGTAAAAAAAAAACAGAACCCACAAAATGAGCGCACTATTATCACTCCTTCAATCTCAAACCAAGTGGTTCGTCCAACTCGGAGACACGGCGGCGATGGTAAAATCAAATTTAGTAACGACGCGCAGGGATAACGCACACCACAATAAGTCTGCTTTCTGAAACAAGGATGTCAAAAATAATTCTCGATGAACCTCAGATTGCAGAAAAATAGATAAGACATCAGTAAATGTGGTACAACCTTGTTTAACATGGGCAAGGCGACAATAAAGTCGATTCGAAATTGTCAAATATACATATATGCTGCATGGCTAGACCGAGGGGATGGCGACGGCTTGGGAAGGCCTTCATCCAGCAGTGGAAAGATCACAAGCGACGTTGATATGACAAATTATTCGTGTTTTTTTTTTAATTTACGGGACAAATGCCACAGACACGTTTGTCGCGTTCGAAGCCTTAAGGTTGATTTTTTTTATGCTCCTAATTTTTTGGGCAAATTTTTTTTAGATACGCGGCGTGTAAAAAAAAAAAAACCCCCAGACAAAAACGCCAATAAAAGAGAGGCTTGAATTTTTGGCAAGTGCAGAGCAGTAGACGGAGAGATTTGGCATTAACCCATCAACCCGTAAAACTGGAGCCACACTCTGTAGGATAAGAACAAATACGTTAACTCAGTTTGCTCGCGTATTGCGCAAACACAACGCGCAGGCCCATCGAGACGGGCGCACGTTGTCCACGTCGCCACGTCGCTCTGCTGCCATTTCTCGAAACACTTATTTCAATTTCTGTCCAAACGCGGACCGAACGTCGAGCGGAGCCACGACGCCAGAACACAATTGGCAAGTGTCTCTGCCGCTGTTGCCTGTTGACGTTATCCACAAATAGACGGAGAAATAATAACCAGGTTGGTTCACATTTGGTGCCAATTGTTAAAAAAAAAAGAAGAAACACTTCCAATTCGGTTCGTCCGCCATCCCTTCCACTCCCCGCTCACTCCGCCTCACTTTGTCCGCCTCATCTCCATGCTAAATGTGACATTTGGCGAAATATTTTGGGCCAATTTAGCGCTTTTTACGTAAAATCAACTGCGCTAAAAGGTCCGTGTCGTCGATCGCGATCGCGGAGTTTTCCAAAACCATGGTGCGATGCTGAATATAAAATGGAAATGTGAAATTTTTACAAAAAGGGAGAAAGCATGGGCAAAAGATGTCGCAAATTCACAAGAAAAAGAAAGCCATTTTTTAATTCGAAACAAAAAAGAATCTTAGCGCATGCGCTTTAACGATGTCCAGTCTAGCGCATGATTTGTCCAATCAGAGGCGAGCCGCGGCTCACAAGATGGACGCCGTTGTCCATGACGGCCATATTCCACGCGCTGTATTTAAACAACAAAAAGAAAATGGCGTCCACAATTAGCTTTTCCAATATCCTCTATAGAAACATCGCAAAGTTGGGCGCGTTTTTGGCCGCAGTTGGTGTTGCAGTGAATACGTTTAAACGTGCAAAATATATAAATATATTTTTTAGCGGCATTCCCTGTCCAGCATCCAGATTTCTAGCAACAACGGCGCCGTGCTTGGTGGCCATTTTGGAATACTAATTATTGGCGATGCAAGTGTAAATAGAATACAAATTTTAAAAACTATATCAAATTATTTATTGACACTATACGAAAAAGCAAGGCTTACCATAAAAAAACACACATATATACGCTTGCGATTGCAATACGTGCCCCGTACGATCGAACCAGAAAGCTCGCCCGCTTAAAATTTTCCCCAAATTCTTTCGCGAAATGGCCATGCTTGTGCCTCTTGTCGTCGCCGTGAGGGTTTGGCTTGTGAAGGCTCCCTGGCACATGTGCACGAGCGACTTGGCTACGAATACAGGGGGTTAGTTTTAAAATAAAAATAAATAAAAACGCACAAAAAAGATTCAACGCTCCCTTCGGCGCCTCGCCAAGGGCCCACAAAGAGTATATTTTGAGTGGATTTAGAGTTTTTATCTCCCCCAACTTTGCGTGTCCCGTTCGCGGCCGTAGTAAAAGGCCAATCGCACAGATATCTGCGATCCGTTTCCTCTCCTCTGTACCTACGTAAAGAGAGGTTGAGCAAAGGCAAATGCTTACTGGATTGTTACAGAAAATCTTTGCATCAAATATTGCATACCGCACAGTTACACACACCCATATATACACACAAACATATAGAATATATACATAAATGCTATATAAATATATATACGCCATACAAATACATTCAACAAAACCACAGCGGTAACCAATAGGCCCCATAAGGAATTGAATGTGGTTGAGCCTTAGAAACTTGGCCACGGCTCCAATATTTGCGAGCCGATTCAGGCACAAAACGAGGCTCCGGATGAGGATATACATCCGTTCCTATTATTTCATATCTAAGCTGCAGACAAAAAAATATATATACATATCAATAATCAATAAATACCGGAAACAACGATCGTCACGTATTATACACGCACATATTTCTGTCTGTATGCTACGATGCACACGCGAACAGATGCACCTTGGAACACGTCTACGGGGGAACGGGGGGGTGGCGAGTAACAGCGAAAACTAAGCGACTGTATCTTTTGCGGGGGGGGGGGGGGGGGGCGGTGAAAAAGAAGTGTTGGCAAAGACTAAACAGCTCCAGTTCTGGAAGTTTGCACTGTTTCGCTATTGCGTCGTCGCATCGCGGTTAGTAGTTGGCCCGATGCATTACGGCGGCGGGGGGGGGGGGGATGGGGGGGGCCTCCCCACGCATCCGCACACTTTCCTGCGGTAGCCCAGGACGGCGGTTCGCCCCACGCGGGCGTTGGCAGAGCTGGCGGCGCGATCGTGAGATCGGCTCGGAGCCCGCGTTGGCGACGGGGGTTTCACCGTTCTCAAGAGCCATCCTCCCGAGTGCGGCTTTTTAACAACAACAAAAAAAAAACGGCAAAGCCAACCCCGAGGAATCGTTCCAGTTATCGGCGGCAGCCAAGGTCAATGGGTTTCGAACGTTGCGCCCGTCGCTTCGCCCCGTTTGTCTGCGGGCGCACTTTTTTTCGTGTTTGCGCGCGTACATTTGCGCGTGTGTAAATTTGCGCGTGCGTCTTTTGTCGCTTTGCTTTTACTTTAATCAGCGCTTCCATAATTGCGCTGTTTTGTAAACTTTGTTCGATAAAAGGGATAGTTTTTATATACATACAGAAAAACTAACTTCGATATTCGCGCACATCATTACAATTGCACAAGCGTGATTATAGTAATTATAAAAGTAAGATTTATGTCACTATAATTATTACTGCATGGTAAAAAAAACACACACATTAATTGTACAATAATAGTTTTTGTACAATTACTTATCATATTTCTTATCATTGTAAATGCAGGTCACCCTGGATTGAGGTTAAATGAATGAGGCGCATGGGCAACGATGCCAGGCTTGGTGGACGCTGGGCTCCGGGATTGTCGCGGAGAGCCACCAGGTATGCACTGTCGCGGGCAGACGTTGGTGAGCACAGGTAATGCGACCGATCGATGCCCAGAGATGTCGAGCCTGGTAGGCGTTGTCCGCTACCAATGTCGTCTCTCAAGAAAGACCCTCGCAGGGGGAGACCGGCAGAGGGCAGTTCGCAAGCTTCCTGTAGACTTTTTTTGGCAAACATGGCATGCAGTGACAGTACAGAAATGAGCGCCCATTTATTAAAAATACATTCAACTTAACGCGGTCGCCCGTTACGTAATCACATTTTTACGAGATTATTTTCTCTCTAGGTGGAATGTGGTGTTTTTTTATTTTAGTTTTACGCTCCTGCCAGGTTTATTGCGGAGCGCGAATGGTTGCCCCGCGCGTCGTATTTATCAAAATAAGCTTAAAAAATAAAGTGAAATGTAAAATAAAATACGTCGTGCCAGATTTATTTTTTAAGTTTTTATAATTTCAGAGTGCATTTCTTTATTTTATATATATATTTTAAAAAATCAGTTTGGCTTAACATTAAAATTGTTTCAATCGCGGAAATTTGTTTTTGGCACATAGGCGCATCGTACAGTAAACTCTCTTTAAAAATCAGCATCTT